CCCAAAGGTGCATTTCCCCCCCCCCCAAGACAACTGGACCATCTTGAGTTTTTTCTTTGAAAACGTTTTGCTTCTCATCCAAGAAGCATCTTCGGTTCTGAAGAACCGAACATCTGAACCTCCAAGAAGGAGAAAGGTTTTGGATGAAAAGTGAAACGCTTGCAAAGAAAAAACAAAGAAAGTCCGGTTGCCTTTTGAAAAAAAGCACCTTTGGGGCAACCATGACCTGGAGGATGGAAATCTCTATGTTAGATACTAGCCAGGAAGTTACCCCCTCGCCCAAAAAAGACAAACAAGGGGGGGATGAATTATGTCGAATTCTCTGGCTTAATGTGGGGCATTTCTGCTCCTTCTCTAAAACCTCCGTCCTCTCTGCCAGCCCTTGCTTGATGAAGAAGAATAGAATAGAATAGAATAGAATAGAATGAATGGAATAGAATAGAATAGAATAGAATAGAATAGAATAGAATAGAATGAATGGAATAGAATACAGAAAAGGAATAGAATAGAATAGAATAGAATAGAATAGAATAGAATAGAATAGAATAGAATAGAATGAATGGAATAGAATAGAATAGAATAGAATAGAATAGAATGAATGGAATAGAATAGAATAGAATAGAATAGAATAGAATAGAATAGAATAGAATAGAATAGAATAGAATAGAGAAAAGGAATAGAATAGAATAGAATAGAATAGAACAGAATAGAACAGAATAGAATAGAATAAGAGTAAAGTAGAATAGAATAGAATAGAATAAGAGTAAAATAGAATAGAATAGAAAATAGAATAGAAAAGAATAGAATAGAATAGAATAAGAGTAAATAGAATAGAATAGAAAATAGAATAGAAAAGAATAGAATGGAATGGAATAGAATAGAATAAGAGTAAAGTAGAAAATAGAATAGAATAGAATATAGAATAGAATAGAATAGAATAGAACAGAATAGAATAAGAGTAAAGTAGAAAATAGAATAGAATAGAACAGAACAGAATAGAATAGAGCTGGAAGGGACCTTGGAGGTCTTCTAGTCCACCCCCCCCCCCCGCTCAAGCAGGAGAACCTATACCATCTCAGACAAATGCTTGTTCAGTCTCTTCTTAAAATCCCCCAATGATGGAGCGCCCAACGATTTCTGGAGGCAAGCCGGGGCTCTGGCGGACTCCAAAGCTCGCCCCTTCCTTTGGGGTCGGTCCTGACTCAAGTCCTGCCCAGCGCCCCTGCAAACGCCTCCCCCTCCCCGGTCGAGCTGAGGGGGCCGGAGCTCCTCTCTTCCCTCCCCCCCCCGCCCAGTCTTTTGGACCGGAGCCTCCCAAGGCCGGCGCCCTCCCCCTCGGCAAGGGCGCGGGGCGCTGGGCGCCCGGCAGGACCGGCGTCCCGGCAGGGCCGGGGCAAAGGAGGGGTCCCGGCCCGCGCCCCTCTTCCACGAGCCCCCCCTCGTCCCCAAAGCTCCGCAGCCCCAGAGAGGGAGGGAGGGAGGGAGCCCCCCCCCACACACACCTCCGCCCCCCCCCCCAGCACAGCCGAAGTCCAGCAAAGTTCCCGGNAAGAACTGGACCTAGCTAGTCCAGGGGTAGGCAACCTTGGCTGTTTTATGACTCGTGGACTTCAACTCCCAAAATTCCTGAGCTGGCACGACTCAGCTTGGAAACCTCTCCCTTTCCCCTCAGCATGGTTGGCTCAGGAATTCTGGGAGTTGAAGTCCACGAGTCATAAAAAAGCCAAGGTTGCCTACCCCTGGGCTAGACTAAAGAAAAGAAGGACTAGGGCTGACATGATAGCAACTGTTCCAGTATTTGAGCAGCTGCCCCAAAGAAGAGGGGGGGGGGTCAACTTATTTTCCAAAGGACCAGAAGGCGAGACAAGAAACAATGGATGGAAACTCATCAAGGAGAGAAGCAACCTGGAATTAAGGAGAAACATCCTAACAGTGAGAACAATTCACCAGTGGAACGGCTTGCCTTCAGAAGTTGTGGGTGCTCCATCACTGGGAAGTTTTTAAGAAGACCCTGGACAGCCACTTGTCTGAAATGGTATAGGGTTTCCTGCCTGAGCAGGGGGTTGGACTAGATGACCTCCAAGGTCCCTTCCAGCTCTATTCTGATTATTATTATTATTATTATTATCTCAAGAAGGCATTTTGCACAGGTGCCCCGGAAGGAGAAATGAATAGTTTTCTGTGTTAGGACTTGTCTTCTCTTCAGCTGTCCTTCCCACATTGCTTGATCCTATTTGCTCAGTGGTGTAAGTCTGTGCCACCCTCTCAGCAAATCAGATGTTTTTCATTACCTTCTTAAAATATGCATAATTACTTTAGTTTCCAAGACCTTAGGACCCCGTTGCTTTGCTTCCAGGCTTTTTCCTGGTTCCTCTCACCTTTTCTTAAAATGCAAACCAGGCAACATAGGTATTCAAGATTCATTGGAAATAAGAACTTCCTAAATTTGGGGACCTGCATTTTCACGCTTCCAAGCTAAGATTCCCTTTGTTCTTTTAGCAGTCAGCTCACGCTGCGGATACGTATTCAGCTTAGGCTCGATTGCAATTCCAGGATTTATTTCTTGATTTATGGCAAGGATTTCTATGAAGTCAGATTTCCCAAGTGGGCATCTGATTCGTTTCCCTTAAGCAAAGAACTTTGCGTTTGTTTCTTCTCAGTCTCCATGACGTTCAGTCCGCTTCTGCATCCTAACATCCTCATTCCGAAGTTTCTTTCTGCCTCCTCATCTTTGGTGGCATCTGATTTGGTGGCATCTGACAATCTGATGCGTGTTCCTTCCATCTCTTCGACCGAGATGCCAAAGAGCACCAGTCCAGGGACCAATTTCTGTGGCATTTCACTTGTTCCCTTGCTCCAGTTCCAGGAAGGACCTTGGAGAGCAGGCTTTTCAGCCAGGGGTGGGTCCTTTTAGTGGATGAGTCATGGTCTACCAAATGCATAATGGGGAGCTAATCTCAGTTTGGAAAACACATTGATTCAGGCCAACAAATAACACTAGAGCGTCTCCAAGTTCTCCAGAATCTTTCATTAGCCAGGAAGTCCCAAAGGTGCATTTCCCCCCCCCCAAGACAACTGGACCATCTTGGTTTTTTTCTTTGAAAACGTTTTGCTTCTCATCCAAGAAGCATCTTCGGTTCTGAAGAACCAAACATCTGAACCTCCAAGAAGGAGAAAGGTTTTGGATGAAAAGCGAAACGTTTGCAAAGAAAAAACAAACAACCCAAGAAAGTCTGGTTGCCTTTTGAAAAAAAGCACCTTTGGGGCAACCATGACCTGGAGGATGGAAACCTCTATGTTAGATACTAGCCAGGAAGTTACCTCCTCGGCCCAAAAAAGACAAACAAGGGGGGGGAAATGAATTATGTCGAATTCTCTGGTTTAATGTGGGGCATTTCTGCTCCTCTAAACCCTCCTTCCTCTCTGCCAGCCCCTGCTTGATGAAGAAGAATAGAATAGAATAGAATACAGAAAAGGAATAGAATAGAATAGAATAGAATAGAATAGAATAGAATAGAATAGAATAGAATAGAATAGAATGAATGGAATGGAATAGAATAGAATAGAATAGAATAGAATAGAATAGAATAGAATAGAATAGAATAGAATAGAATAGAATAGAATGGAATAGAATAGAATAGAATAGAATATATGGAATGGAATAGATTAGAATAGAATATATGGAATGGAATAGAATTGAATTAGAATTAGAATAGAATAGAATAAGAGTAAAATAGAATAGAATAGAAAATAGAATAGAATATAGAATAGAATAGAATAGAATGGAATGCAATAGGGAATGCAATAGAATAGAATAGAATAGAATAGAATAGAATAAGAGTAAAATTGAATAGAATAGAATAGAAAATAGAATATAGAATAGAATAGAATGAATGGAATGCAATAGAATAGAATAGAATAGAATAGAATAGAATAGAATAGAATAGAATAGAATAGAATAGATAGAACAAGAGTAAAGTAGAAAATAGAATAGAATAAAAAATAGAATAGAAAAGAATAGAATATAGAATAGAATAGAATAGAATAGGAGTAAAGTAGAATAGAATAAGAGTAAAATAGAATAGAATACAAAATAGAATAGAATAGAAAAGAATAGAATAAGAGTAAAGTAGAAAATAGAATAGAATAAAAAAATAGAATAGAAAAGAATAGAATATAGAATAGTATAGAATAGAATAGAATAGAATAGATAGAACAAGAGTAAAGTAGAAAATAGAATAGAATAAAAAATAGAATAGAAAAGAATAGAATATAGAATAGAATAGAATAGAATAGAATATAGAATAGAATAGAATAGAATAAGAGTAAAGTAGAAAATAGAATAGAACAGAACAGAACAGAATAGAATAGAGCTGGAAGGGACCTTGGAGGTCTTCTAGTCCACCCCCCTGCTCAAGCAGGAGAACCTATACCATCTCAGACAAATGCTTGTCCAGTCTCTTCTTAAAATCCCCCACTGATGAAGCGCCCAACGATTTCTGGAGGCAAGCCGGACCTCCGGCGGACTCCAAAGCTCGCCCCTTCCTTTGGGGTCGGTCCTGACTCAAGTCCTGCCCAGCGCCCCTGCAAACGCCTCCCCCTCCCCGGTCGAGCTGAGGGGGCCGGAGCTCCTCTCTTTCTCCCCCCCCCGCGCCCAGTCTTTTGGACCGGAGCCTCCCAAGGCCGGCGCCCTCCCCCTCGGCAAGGGCGCGGGGCGCTGGGCGCCCGGCAGGACAGGTTCCCCGGGAGGGCCGGGGCAAAGAAGGGGTCCCGGCCCGCGCCCCTCTTCCTCGTCCCCAAAGCTCCGCAGCCCCAGAGAGGGAGGGAGAGGGAGCCCCCTCCCCACCTCCGCCCCCCGCAGCACAGCCGAAGTCCAGCAAAGTTCCCGGCCGCGGCGATGGGGCCGGAGCCGCGCATGCGCCTCCGCTCACCAGCTCTCCCGCGGAGCCAGAGCGCCAGCGGCCAGGGCAGATCCGCACGGGCGGCCGGGGCAGGAGGCGATGGCTGGGGAGAACCAGCAGCGGACTCTCCGGAAGAGCATCGCGGCTCAGCAGCCGGCGCCTCGGTCGTCCCCGCTGCCGCCGGCCAACAGCCCCAGCGCCCCCCGAGCGCCCAGCCCGGAGAGCGGCGACCCGGAGCGGGTGGCGCTCAAGAAGGAGATCGGCTTGGTCAGCGCCTGTGCCATCATCATAGGTGAGGGGCGGCCCCGTCGGTCCCGGGGGGAGGGGGACGCCCCCCCACACTCCCCCTCCCCACTTTCCAAGCGTTTCTCCCCCCACCCCCCCGCTTGGAAAGTGGCTCTTGGTGGCGGGGGTTCCTTTAAAAGAGGAGGGGGACAAGGGGGGGCCCCGAGGTTGCTTGGAGCAGGACCCCCTCCCCTTTTCTCCTCTTCAGGGGGACAAATTGAAGGGGGGGGGGAATTAGAGTTGCCAGGTGTCCACTATTTGAGCGGACAGTCCACTTTTTTCACATTATGTTCACTATTTTTTTTTCCACAAAATATTATTCAAAATAATATTATTCAAAATAATATTTTACGTATTATTATAATGTATTGGATGTTTTGAATCTTAAGTAAAGTTTTGAAGTGATTATTTTAAGACGTGTTAAAATGTTTGTAAGAAAATAGATCATTTAATTGTAAATTGACACACACACACACACCCCCGCTTGTCCGCTATCTTTTGGAAGCAGACCTGGCAACCCTAGGGGGAATCTTGGCTACCAAGCCAGGTTTTTTCCCCCCCCTCCCTCCTCTCTTTACTTTTTCTTTCCCATTCCTGGCGCCTGGCATACTTGGTGATTTTCTCCTTTTCAGTCCAGCCTTTTGGAAAGTCTTTTGGTTGGGGAGAGTTTTCTCTTCCTTCCCCCCCCCCCTCACAGCCCCATGCAAGTTGAGTTTGTCCTGGTTGTCAAATTCTGCTTTCCTGTTTTGTGCGGGGGGGGGGGGAGGGGGGGAGGATGAGGGTGGAAAATGTGAGAAGGTGGTGGGCTGGAAATTAGCCGGATTCCCAGGACCCAAGTGTTTGGTAGGTCTGGTCTAGTGAAAAGAAGGACCAGGGGGAGACATGACAGCAGTGCTCCGATGTCTCAGGGGCTGCCCCAAAGAAGAGGGAGTCAAGCTATTCTCCAAAGCGCCAGAAGGCAAGACAAGAAACAATGGGTGGAAACCAATCAAAGAGAGAGAATCAACCTAGAGCAGTGGTTCTCAACCTGTGGGTCGGGACCCCATTTGGGGTCGATCGATCATTTCACGGGGGTCGCCAAGCAAGGCTGTCCGCCATTTTTTTTGTCCGCCATTTTTTTCCCCTTTTCCGGCGGGTGCCTTACCTCCCTTGGGCTGGGCCAGCTGGTGGTTGGCCTGCTCCGTCTCTGCCGCTTGCCAGCTACGCCTCGGCCGGCACAGGGGGCGGAACCACGCATGCGCGGCGCTCCCGGGCAGGGAAAGTCCTCGACTTACGACCGGTTGGGTAGTCCTCGACTTACGACCGGTTTAGTCCTCGACTTACGACCGGTTTAGTCCTCGACTTACGACCGGTTTAGTCCTCGACTTACGACCGGTTGGGGTCGCGGCATTAAAAAGGTTGAGAACCACTGACCTAGAGCTAAGGAGAGATTGCCTGACAGGGAGAATAACTAATCACTGGAACGGCTTGCCTTCAGAAGTGGTGGGGGCAACACTGGAGGTTTTTCAAGAAGAGATTGGACAGCCATTGGTCTGAAATTTCATAGGTCTCCTGCTTGAGCAGGGGGGTTGGACTAGAAGACCTCCCAGGTCCCTTCCAACTGTGTTATTCTGAACCTCCTCAGTTGATGTCCCAGCAACTTCATTCACATGTTTTAAACTTGGCTGGTTGGGTTAGGTTTGAAGTTGCCTTGGCAGGCTGTGCCAGCCAAGCCCATTGGCAGACAGTATACAAACCTGGGTTTGGGGCCCCCAAATTCCATCCAAACCCTGGGCAACCACATTGGTTTCTCCTGGAGATAAGAACCATTTCTCATATTGCTGAGCCCTCAGCTGGATTTGGGGGCACTCAACAATTTCCTGCAGTCGATCCTGATTTTTTAAGGAGCTTTTGGAGATCCTCAAACAGCTTTTGGCCCTGTTAACACTTATTTATTTATTTAGCATAGGGTATCTCATACTTGGACTTGCAATATACATTTCACCTAGAACCCAGATTGATAATGCTTCCCATTTGTGAAGGCAGATATCGGGGGACCAAACAGAGGGAGTCAGTATATTGACTGTGTTCACACAACCTTCGGAACTGCAATTTGTCCACCACATTTTAGCCAGTCCTGTTGTACAGGCCAAGCCAGTGGATTTAGTTGCAGAAAGCCAGAAACTTTGGTTAAGTCAATGAGCCGTGCTTCTGTTAATCCTCTCTAAATCCATCACGCGAGCATCACTGAGTGAAGATGTCGTGGTGGTCTCCGAGGGGGGGGGAGAAATTAACCAGAAGAACCACAAGAATCTGAGAGTTGTTTTTGTTTTTTTAATCTTGGGAGCATTCTGGAAAAGAGCAGTTTTGGGAGAGAGCCCTGCTTTTATTTATCATTCCAATTATGTAAATGCCACCAACAATCTCTTTGCCAGCCTCTTGCGCTTGGATTTTTGTGACAGCAGCTTTGCGTTGCCTGTTTAGGGCTTTTTCCAAGGCCTGCACACCAACCCAGGGTGTTTTAATTGTCTTTGGGTAAGCTTCTGGGGAAAACTAGGCTGTTAATTTAAGCCATAAGGAAACAAATAGACATGTGTGCCTGTGAATTCATTGCGATGCAGTTTTTACTGAGTGGATCGTAAGCCGACTCTTTTTCCCCAAAAAACCTCAGGGTTGCATTTTTGGTGGTGCTTCTTTTCCTTCTTTCTGCCTTGTCCACCTAACAAACTCTCAAATGTGTTAGGAGAAGAGGAAGAAGCAGAGAGAAAGAGAGAGGACCCCAAGCTCAGGTTTTGAAGCCAAGCTCCTTTGTGATTTGAATTTAGCTCCTCCTGGCTCTGCAGGGTTCCTTTAAACTCATCCTGTCTCCCAAGCATGTTGAAGGACAGGCCCTGTCATCCAGAGTCACCTTCCACACCATGGTATCTTGAGTTGTTGGGACTTTTAGTCCCAGTACATACATCCAGAGAACTTCAAGTTGGTAGAAAATCTATCTAACCACTGCACCTCACTGCCTTTCCTTTTTGAAGATCTGAGTTTAAAAGTAGTTGGGCCCCTTAGATGTTTCCTCTTTGTTCCAAGCCTACTTGAGACAGGAGAACACAGATGTGGGACCCAATTAGCCATGGCGGTCTTTTCATTGTGATTGCTTGTGCTTTGTGGTGGTTCTGTTTCGCTGTACCCATGACGGAGAAGGACTTTAAGCTGTGGAACTCGAGAGAACATCAATGTCTGTAATATAAAGAACTTCATTCATCAATAAAGATAATGTGAAACCAGGAAGAGAGGTGACCAGTGGCCATGGCTGTGTGAGAAAAAGCCATTTTTAATTTTAAAAACCTGAAAAGAAAGCACCAGGAAGGAATGTCTGTGGGATGTGGTCAAAAAGTCAAGATAGTGGTAATAATAATAATAATAATAATAATAATAATAATAATAATAATAATAATAATAATAATAATAATAAGAAGAAGAAGAAGAAGAAGAAGAAGAAGAAGAAGAAGTAGTAGTAGTAGTAGTAGTAGTAGTAGTAGTAGTAGTAGTAGTAGTAGTTGGAAGGGACCTTGGAGGTCATCTAATCCAAGGCTTTTCAACCTTTTCACCCATTGTACCATTTTTAGGATATGGCAATATCCGAGTACCACCAGTCGTCTAGCAAGGTGTCAAAAACTTGATGACCAAAAAAAGAAAAAAAATGATAAAGTACAGGTAGTCCTCGACTTACAACAGTTTGCTTAGTGACTGTTTGAAGTTATAATGGCACTGAAAAAAGTGCCCCCCAAGCCACAGCCAAGGAAGACACCTGCCTGCCCGCCCGGCGGCACTCTTCCTCCTGTCCGAGGTTTTCATTGTTGTGAGCATTTCTGTTGAGGATTGGCAGCGGGGGTGGGGTGGGGTATGTGTGGTTTTTATTCCGCCCATCTGCTGGGTGGTTGCAGCAGGTTTGGTCACTTCACATGACCCTGGGACACTGTGACCGTCATAAATATGAATCAATTGCCAAGCATCTGAATGTAAATCACAAGACCCTGGAGATGCTGCAACATTCCAGCTGATCGGTGCTTCTTCTGGACTCAGCAGAAGCACCAAGATCAGCACCGAGCTCCAGCTGGAGCCTGGCGCTGATCCTGACGCTTCCACTGAGCCCTGACAGCCCCAAAGAAGCGCCGATCAGCTGGAAAGCGGCATTGATCCTGGCCCTTCCGCTGAGCCCTGAGAGCCCTGCAGCTCCAGCCATCTCTCGCTCAGGCTTCTGCGGTGCTGCCACCGGTTCAGCTCATTCCCCTCCCCCGCTACCCCTTTTCTAGGATGGCCGCGTACCACCTGCCAGGTGCCAATGTACCACAGGTGGTACCCGTACCACTGGTTGAAAAGCCCTACTCTAAGCTCTCTTCACCAGCTCACCTGTATGGTTCCAAAGAGTCAAAAACAAAACTGAAGTCCATGTGAAAAATAATAATGGGCTCTAATTAGAATTTTCTTGGCAAAAGGAAAGAAGAGAACGGACCAACACACACCACGGTGTTCCTAATTGAGCCCTTGTGGGTACAGAAAACAATTTTGTTTCATCCACTCCTAGGTCTCCCTGCAATTGCTAATTTTCACATAGCATCCAAAAACTTTTTCTCAAATGCAAACCGAACAGACGCAGAGCCTCAACGATATATTTGGAAGTAAAAGTAGTGCCAGTCTGAAGAAGAAGAAGAAATGTTTTCATTGAACCGTTCATTTTTCCCCCCGCTCTGTTTTAAGAGGAGGAACGTAGACCGTTGTTTATTGAAGAATGTTATTACAATCTCTTTCAATCCATTGGGGGGAAAAAATAGCCGTTTCTCAGATCTGGAATGGGATTCTAGTCATATTCTACCGAATCAAAGTCCAAATCCCAACAGCCCTGAGAAAAGTGACTTATGACCACTTTTCACACACCGTTGTAGCATCCCCACGATCAAAAATCAGATGCTTGGCAATTGACTCATCTTTATGACCACTGCTGTCATGTGACCCCCTTTTGCGACCTTCTCACAG